CTACGAGTAGTTACGACGCAACTACAGAAGAAGAGACAAAGACAGAAAGAGCGCTGATTTAGACTGAAATATTATTAGCGAAAATGCTGGAAATATGTACCCGTGACGGAACATCATCGCGCAATCGCACAGCCTATTGCATCACAGCAAGACAATCGTCATCTCATTATATGGTTACGACGCCACAGTTCAGCACAAATTAACGATTTATTGTGTCAAAGCCAAAAACTTGTTTTGTAATTTAGTCAGAGCTGCGCAATCGCACAACCTATTGCATGTATCAGCATGCCTTCGCTTGCTCTGACTAAAAAATAAATCGAGTTTCTGGCTTCGATTCTTACAGAACAGTCGTTTACCGATTTCTATGACGGAGCGATAAAACATGGTTTTTCATAAGTATTTGCTATTGCTTCTGCCTAAATTGCCTGCGACTTGACGCAACTCAACTGTCCGGGCCCCGCGTTCAATAAAAACGCAGCACTGTGTTAAACGCCACAGAGCAAACGCAGGCATAGTTCCCGTATGCTTATACTTAATAAATATATTTGAAGGCACCCAAACGCCAAAGCATATGTCGTGTCTTGATCTCTTTCTTGCGTCCTCGTTGGCAGACCAGTCTATTTAAAATGAATGTTTACTAACTAGCTCAATCCTGTTATTCTAAGCTTTCTTCATTTTTATTTAGGTCACTTTAGCTCTAAATCTGCTTATTAATATTGATTTCTTTATTATCTATCTTATTTTCTCTCTCTTGCATTTGTTTCTACTCGTCTGTTATCGTGTCAGTGCCATGCGATCTTCCTTTCACTCTCAACGTTTGATTTTTTCTCCCCATCACCTCTCTTCCCCTTGCTCACTTCTCCCTTGTTACATTAAGTGCACAGCAGCAAGACGGCAAGTTTGACCAGTTGGCTTACATTCATGCGCGAAGGTTTGCTTGAAGTGCACTGATAAACGCACTACTTCTACAATATAAAGATGGCTGGATAAATGGATGACAACTTTATTGTTTCGCAGGATAGGGAGGCCCGCTACTCTCCAGCCCCGGCACACATGCCTAAGTGACGGGGGCCGGCCACTCTGCGATCAGAAGCAGGTGAAGAGGTTCTGACTCCTTGCGGCTTCTTCTGCCAGGTGAATTGCTTGTTGCTATTAATCAGGATCTTCTCTCCGCAGCAAGGCTTCGCAGGTCTCTCTACAATTGAACTTGCAAAATAACTCTACAATTGATTTAGCGCCTGCAAAGCCATCACACTCCCATATTATGTGATGAGGGTCCCCCTCACCCCTCAGTGCCTGCTTCTATCGTTTGTTATTGTCTTTCTGCACACGATACGCCCAGACGAGGTTTAAGAACTTGGCAGCTTGCAAGTGCCATCATGCGACTGCCTCCTTACTGTTTAGTCTTTTATCTAAGGAGGCACTGCTCTCCTATGTAGCCGATAATTTTAAAGGATTTCAGTGAAATTCTGTTGACGCTCGTCTTGTTCTGGCAATCGGGAGGCTCCACAGACACCCGGAAGTAAAGAGCTCGAGCTAACTCGTGGGCCAGCTCATTGTCAGGGGTGGACGTGTGCGCTGGGGTTCAAATTAGGCGAAGTTTTTTGTTTACCCATCTACCGGACAGAACCCTTGCCGCTTCAGATGAGGTTCATACCATTGATAAAAATTCAGATGACCGTCTTGATATGGCTGATTATAAAATGAGCTTGCGTTCCAAATCAAGCGAGCGCTATTGCAAGTTCTTCAGCCGTTTCCGTTTTGAGGCTTCTAATTGTGGCAGCCGATACGGGGGCACTTTGCCGTCGAATACCAAGGTGACAACTACGCCCGATTGACCACTTGCCGCGTCCCCGTACGCAGCCGCCTTCAAGTCCATTGATCCAAAGCGCTTGGTTACAGTTTGTGCTCTCTTTTCAATCCTCTATGAGTGGAATATAGGGTGCATGCTTTGAGGGAGAAAGGGAAATATTTAATATTTTTAGGCAGTCTTTGAAGAAGTTTTATTTTACTCGTGATTCCTTAGCGGTTTGCAGACCAACGAAATTGAGGATAACTCTGCCGGTATTTTTTCGGCTTAGTCGATCGAGCTGCGAATTTCTAACAGCCTCCACAATTTCATCCCAAATGTTGTGCACTTCCATAGGCAAAAGCTTTTCTGTGAAGGGGCTGATTGGTAAATCTAAGGCCCTCCTTATGCACCGTCTAATGAGCGAATGTATTTCTCCTCAGACCTGATGCCCGAGAAAGGCGTGGCATAGCACGCACGGCTTATTACGCATGCTTGGGTTAGTATGCGCACGCATCTTTTTTGAGGCCGCGTCCTTTCAGCACAATCCTTCTAAATTATCCAAGGGCTTGCGTGGCAAACTCTGCAGGTCTTTTTTTGATGCGAAGCATTTTTAACTTCGGCGACTTTGAGCGTATCTATCTATCTATCTATCTATCTATCTATCTATCTATCTATCTATCTATCTATCTATCTATCTATCTATCTATCTATCTATCTATCTATTGCCACAATGTCCGCCGCCACCTCTAGGCGCTCCGTAATCTTCGCACCACTCCTTTTGTTAGTCCATAGAGTGATGTCATACACATACATACTGAATTTTTGCACCCTCTATGTTTCTCAAGCATCAGGGAGGCCCTGCATCACAACATGGAAGTGAAACAGACAGAGAATTGAGCACTGTGGCGCACCCTCGGAACATAAGTTGATTAGGGGCGATTCAATGTTTTAAAACTTCAAGCAGACAGCTTTGTCTGACAAAAAATCCTGAATCTAACCCTATGTTAGCGCTCCTATCCTGCACGGTCTTCCGGAAATCAGGATCGTGAGTAACAATATCCAAGGCTCTTGTCAAGTCCAGGCTAAGAATTACTTTATCATCTATGGAACGCGAATTGATTATATCAAGTTTGAGTTGGAGCAACATGTCCTGCGGGCCTAAGCCCTGTCGGAAGACGACCATCTACAGCGGCCACAAGTCAATATTTTATGTGGAACACATAAGTTCGGTCTGAGCTATGTGTTCCTCAGTTCTCATTAGCACGAGTTTAGAGAAATGTGTCTCAGGTTTTCTATTGTGGCTGGTTTGCCTGGCTTTGGAATTAGAATTACAGTTGCCGACTTCCACTGGCTGGATAAGCAGGCCTTCAGTCCTAATTTCTTGCATGTACGTCGTCATAGCGCTGATGGAAGCGTCGTGCAGGTTTCCTATACTTCTATTCGTTATTCCTTCAGTGCTCGGGGAAGAGTTTGTTTCGAGTGCCACTCTTACTGCCCTAATCTCTGCCTCCGGGATGCGTGCATCGACCGTTGATTGGGAGCCCCGTTATATATCGGGATATTGGTACTGCAATTATCACTAATGTAAAGGGTGGGTGGGGTTGTGCTTTGTGACAATTTCAAATAAGCGTTGTATAAATAAATATTATGAAAGCAAAAACTACCAAATCTGCACGGAACGTGCAGCATACTCAAAGCGAAAGCTGGGAGTCCGGCCTTTCAGTGCCTTTTCTAAAGGCTCGCTGTGTAACTGCTACAAGCCCAACTGCAGGGCCTGCACTACCTCAATAATCATCATACTTTTGTGCGGTAGAAAGCAACTCACTATGCGATTATTCGTCCTTCTTCGGAGAAGCTTGGCACACGGTACACATTAGCAATAAATTTGGAGAGATTTTTTGGCGCTCTGACTGACGAAAATGAACAATTATGCCTGAAGTTTTTGTATTAGGTTGAAACACTCAACAACCCACTCGCTGAAGGTGACATTGTGTGACTCCTGGTTGTTTGGTTTTTTTTTGCTGTTCTAAAACGCTGTATTATTCACACTAACGAGATTTATTTCCCAACATATTGTCTGCCTAAGCCCAGTTCGCACCGCGGTTTCAAATACGGGCCCTGGGTTAAAATTAAAATACTTGGTGTCGCGCAGGTGAACCAATATATGAATTCCATTTTTTCGTGTCTTTTTTTCTGTAGTTTGCTTTCTTACTTTGCGCGTTAGTGGTGAAGAACATTGGTGGTAGCAGTGGTGGCGGCAGAGAAGTAGCCACACGCATCTCTTTCTTGTTCTCAAAAAAGCTTTTGCTGTAAAAAAATGTGTCATAATATATGAATAGATATGACACTTGTTTTCGAATGAAGGGTTCGAGTGCCAACTTTCCAAATATTCTGTTTTTTGCAATAATACTTTTTTTTCTTTTTTGTCTCCACCCCTTTGTTTCTTTCTTCATTTACCTCTCTGTATTTGTTCGCTCATCTATCAATGTTATTACGGGCCATGTTCTAATGGTAAGTGGTAGGATTTGCCAAATTTTGTGGCAAATACTCGTTCACAGTAATAATAGATTTCGGGCACTACCCTACAATTGTCGTCTAGCCAGAGCAGCTTCACTGCTAAAACGCTGTTGAGAAAGAACCTTAGCAGGTATGACTACCAGTGATTTGCTCAAATTCTGTGACACATACTTGTTTAAGGCCATGCCATTTTGTTAATTTGTTTTTTATATTTTAGTTTATTGAATTCTTCTGTAGTTTTTCCTTTTTTTTTCAAAGAAACGTTATTATTGTTCTTATCTAATTTCTTTCTTTTTTAGCAAGCGTTGTACAAAAATATCTGCTATAAGGAACAGTGTGGCCAATCCATCTTGTGTGTATGAGCCAAGATCTAGGCGACAAGACAAGACAGTTTTTGGGCACAACTCCACAATTTTCGGCTAGCTAGAACAGCTTGGCTGAAAAAATGATGTCGTGAAAGAACTTTAGCAAGTACCACTGTCAGTGATTTGCTGAAATTCTTTGCACATGCCTGTTCATAGTGACGATAGTTTTCAGGCACAACGCCACAGTCATCGCCCAGCTACAAAAGGTTCGCTGTCAAAATGATGTTGTGCAAAAACCTTGGCAGGTACGACTACCAGTAAAAAGCGTGGCAGTCAGTATAATTGCGTCAACTAAGTAAGGTACAAATTTAAATCATTTACCGTACCTATGGCGTACACGTCCATCAAGTTCCTGTGTCGTACGTGAAACTCTCCCTGAAGAATTATACTGCGTCTATAAATTAAAAGAATGCAAAAGATATGTATATGTATAAAATAAAAACAGGACAAACTTACCTTTGTTCATTGTGCAAGAATGTCCTGTTGTAAACAATGTATTGTGGGGTGATGGCACGCATCTGATTGTGCTGACATCTAATGGTGCCCTGTTTGCTTATTTTATACGTCCACATTTTCTGGGACGTGTTCACGAACTGAAAGGTGAATCAGCCAAAAAATAAATATTAAAACAGTGCAAACAACGCAGTAAAGTTACTAACAATTCTGCTCAATCAGCTGGTTCTAGTGTGTTCATAGAAAGAGAAAAATACCCTAATGTGTAAGACAGATAACACAGGCAGTGTATACTAATGGCTGATTTGCTAGTTCGCGTGCGCAAGAAAAGTGGGAAAAAAAGACGGGAGGAGAAAAGCCCTGAAATGAATTCTAATGTTTTACCAAGAAACAGAAACACATGTGAGATTGAGTTTTCAAGCTAGTATGTAGAGACATGCGCTGAGATAGATTTCATTGCGCGTATGCATTCGACAGTCAGTGTCAAATAATTAAAGACCATGAGATAGACAACAGAGCCTACTATACTCGGTGCTTATTCAAGCAGTCCTAAATATATATTTTCGATATTTAGCAAATTTGTCAACAATTTCAATAGTTCAGGTCAATCGAATACATGCATAAATTGCTGAGAACTATAATCTTTTCAGTCCTAGTGGTTTCTATATTTCTGATGCCGACTCTACGACAAAGCTTGTCTATCCGACCGAAACTATCCAAATATGCGCAAATAAATCATGTCGCACACCTTCGTGGTGAGAAGGAGACTAAAGCGCAAAAAACACCGTCAATTAATAAAGTAATCTGCTAGGTAGAAGGCGTGCCATGGTTATAAAGCACGTGTTTACCATCAGATGCTTCAAGCTGAAATTGAATGTATTACATAACTTCAATGGAGACACAGTTGTCGCAGTATTTACTTCAAACTTGATCGCATCTATGCCATAGGTTGCTTTCAATGGGGTTGCTTTCATTGAATAAGCCAGACCAGACGCACGAGGAACACGGCTGGGGGACGTAAGGCTAGAATAATTCAAGAATAAAAGTTTTCAGACGTCAATGATTATTGAATGAGAGGCATCTTCTGAGATGCATGTAGACTGAATAAATGTAAGCCCCACGAGGTATCGGAAAGTTTAAAGCATTGAGTAGTTGTGCACAAAACAATGTGCACACAACGTTCTGCACACAACCAGGGACAACGACTGCACATGTGATTTATTGTTTAACTATTGGCTCAATGAGTGACATAACGGGGCCCAGCTGTACGGTCACGACGTCTATTTCTCCCTAAATAAATTTAGTAAGCATTCATAGGCGTAAGCATAAGAGTATGACCTACGCTATACTGCAGGTTGAGTAGTAACGTCGGTATATAAGTAATGGCTTCAGTGACACGTTCGAGTAGCCAAGCACAGCAAAAGTAAGCACGTTCCCGTGCTTATAGTTACCGTGAAATTCCTTAAGAAGCTTCAACTGTATTTCTTCGGTATCATAGATTAAGATAGGCTGTGTAGTAGTGTTGTCACTTGTCAGCATATCTTGTGCCACAAATTCAAGTAGGTGCTACATTTAATTGTGTGGCAACGTTTCATACTAGACATGTCAAGTTGTACGTGTGATTTTATAGATAAACAGATATTTACGTAGATATGTATATAGATAGATAGATAGATAAATAGATAGATAGATAGATAGATAGATAGAAGATAGATAGATAGATAGATAGATAGATAGATAGATAGATAGATAGATAGATATATTGTAAGATGGCGTCGAGAACACTCGAGACTCTCCTTTTATTGACTCGAGTATGTGCCCCACAACCTAAACTTGACTGGGGATGATGAGTATTTACAGATGAAAAGATGGGACGCATAAATAATGCTCACACTTATTTTCCCCGCGCACTTGAGCGGCCGGCCCGGCCGAGACTTAGGCGGGAAAGGTACGGCTCACAAAGGGTTTAAGACGTGAAACGTGGACAATCTCGGAGGCACGGTAACGACGGTCCGAGGAACCCTCGACGGGAGTGACAAGGTAAATGACCGGAGATGTTCTTTCACAAACAACGTAAAGTCCTAGAAAGCGAGTCTGAAACTTTTCACACAATCCGGGTGTGCAAATAGGCGTCCAAAGTAGTATTTCATCTCCAGGACGGAAGGTGACGTCTCGACGAAAGCTGTCATAGCGTTGCTTGCGGTCTTCTTGACTGGCCTTCGTGTTGAGTTGAGCACGTTGCCGTGCCTCAGCAAGCCTTGAGATGAATGTTCTGGCGTAGTCGTCGACGTTTTTGTCATTACATTGAAGAAAGAGGCGTCAATTGTAAATGTAGGCGCACGACCATAGACGAGGAAGAAAGGTGAATACCCGGTGGTTCGTTGAACAGCGGTGTTGTGTGCAAATGTTACGAACGGCAAGATTTTGTCCCAATTATCGTGGTTCGGTCCGATGTACATGGATATCATGTCGATTAGAGTCCGGTAGAATCGCTCTGTCAGCCCATTTGTCTGCGGGTGGTAAGCGGATGTGGTCTTATGAAGTGTGCCACAAGTTTTTAGAATTTCGTCAAGAATTGTCGACATGAAGGCCTTGCCCCGGTCACTCAACAACGTGCGAGGTGCACCATGACGCAACACAATGGCTTCTAAAAAGAAGGCGGCAACGTCTGAGGCGGAGCTAGTGCGTAGAGGAGCGGTCTCCGCGTATCGTGTGAGGTGGTCGATGGCTATGACGATCCAGCGGTGGCCCGCTGTCTATACGGGAAGTGGCCCGACGAGGTCTATTCCGACAACGGCAAAAGGTGTGTCGGGACATGGAATGGGTTGTAATAAGCCAGCAGGAGCTGAAGTTGGTCGTTTCCGGCGTTGACAAAGTGCGCAAGAAGCGACATAATTAGCCACAAAGGTAGAAAGACCAGGCATGAAGAAACGGCTCCTAACGCGGTTGTAGGTCTTTTGAAATCCCAAGTGTCCAGCTGATGGGTCGTCGTGCAATGCTTCGAGAACTTGTTTTCGCAGCGAACGGGGAAGTACTGGCACCCACCGATGCCCATCCGCATTGTAAGTATAGTGCTGCAGGACATTGTTCTCTAGCTTGAACAGCCGTAGCTGACGACGTAGTCTGGCATTAGGTGGAGAAGGCGAGTCATTCAAGTATCCGATGATGCGGCTACAGTAGGGGTCGTCACGTTGGTACTGGGCAAACTGGGTGCTGTTGTTTAAAGGTAGCGACCCAGCAACTGCCAGGGGTGATAACGTGAGTGAACAGGAAGCCGCTTGATCACCTGAAGAGCATTCAGGATGCGTGGTTGGAGATGAAAGTGGCAGAGGGCAGCGAGAGGGAGCGTCAGCATCCTGATGCTGTTTGCCGGACCTGTACACAACGTCAAAAGTGTACTCTTGCAAACGCAGTATCCAGCGACGGAGGCGCCCAGACAAATTCTTCAGCGAGAAGAACCAGCATAGGGCATGGTGGTCGGTAACCACAGTAAAGTGGCGTCCATACAGATAAGGTCGAAATTTCTGGATGGCCCAAACGACAGCGAGACATTCATGCTGTGTTATCGAGTAGTTCTGCTCTGCAGGTGTTAGTGCGCGGCTGGCATACGTAACTACTCTCTCACGTGAAGTGTCGTCGCGCTGGAGGAGGACAACCCCGATTCCGTGGCCGCTGGCATCTGTTCAGGAAAGTGGGTGCACTCTCATCGGAGTGAGGAGGACGGGGTCTGATGTCAAAGCACGCTTAAGGGCTTGGAAAGCACACTCGCACTCGTCAGTCCACGTGAAATCCGTCCCTGACGTCAGAAGCTTGTGTAACGGCCCCGCAATGGCAGCGAAGTGACGGATGAAGCGGCGGAAGTAAGACGCCAGGCCCACGAAACTTCGCAATTGTTTTTGATTGCGCGGACGTGGAAAACTAATTACGGCAGCAACCTTGTCGGGGTCAGGTCGAACGCCGTCTTTGCTGACAAGGTGACCCAATACTTAGATGCTTATGCTGGCGAAGGGGCACTTTTTTGTATTCAGCTGTAGACCAGCGTTCGAAATGCACGTTAGAACTTCGTCGAAACGCTTAAGGTGCTGAAAAAATGTAGAAGAATAAATGACGACGTCGTCTACATAACATAAACAGGTTTTCCATTTGAGACCACGTAAGACAGTATCTATCATGCGCTCAAATGTTGCTGGAGCGTTGCATAAGCCAAAGGGCATGACGTTAAATTCGTAAAGCCCGTCAGGCGTCGCAAACGCTGTTTTCTCCTTGTCTGCTTCGCGCATAGGTATTTGCCAATACCCGCATCGGAGGTCGAGGCTGGAGAAATATTCTGCGCCGTGTAGGGAGTCCAGGGCATCATCTATGCGTGGCAACGGATATACGTCTTTTTTCGTGATCTTATTGAGCGCTCTGTAATCAACACAAAAGCGGACAGAGCCATCCTTTTTCCGGACCAACACCACAGGAGACGACCAGGAGCTGGATGAAGGTCGAATAATATCCCGTTTGAGCATGTCGGCGACGTTTTTCTCGATGATTTGCCGTTCAGCCGAAGAGAGACGGTATGGGCGGCGGCGTACAATGGAGCTGCCTTCGGTTTCGATGCTGTGCTCTGCAACGGAGGTGCGGCCAAGAACTTTGCAATGTACATCAAACGAAAGGCTGTGCTTTTGGAGAAGGTCTAAGAGGTCTCTCTTTTGCTCGGCAGTGAGGTGAGGACTTATGGTGTCATTTAAGGTAACAGTGGTAGCCTTGATATCAGTAGCAGCAGACAAAGCGGTGATTCTGCGTGAAGGGGAATCAGTGAAAAGGGCTCACTGTCAGCGAAGCAGCTCACAGCAGTGCCCTGGGGCAGCATCACTGGCGAAGAAGTTGGATTCAAGGCGGTGACCAATGTCGTTAAACCGCACAAGCCCGGGCGCTATGGTAAGCCCCGCAGGTTTCGAGCGAACTGATGGAGCTATGAACACGTCACCATTAACTATAGTATCCGAAGCGATCATTAGAAGTTGTTCCTCTCCTGGCGAAATGAAACAATCAGTAGGAGCGATGAAACGGAAGCTGTATGGATCGACATCCGATGAACTCTCAAGAGCTGACATTCGAATGACTCGCTGACGACACGATATGAAAGCTGATGTCGAAGAAAGGAAGTCCCATCCTAAAATTACTGTGTGAGTGCACAAAGAAAGTACAAGAAACTGAATGTTGTGAATGATGCCATCTATGAAAACACGGACTGTGCAAACACTTGAAGGCTGAATAGGGACTCCATCTGCGCAACGAAGGAGAGGACCATCGTAGGGCGTCCTAACCTTTTTCAAGCGGGCAAAAAAGTCTGCACGAATTACGGAAATTGATGCGCCTGTGTCCACCAGTGCCTCTGTCTGTATACCTTCAACATACACCAATAAAACATTCGATGGGCGGTCCGGAGGAGTTTGACGCAGTTCGAAAGATGCAGCTTTCCCTCCCGAAGCTGCACTGTTCAGTTTTCAAGTTGGCGGTCGGGAATTGAAGTAGAAGGTCAGAGAGGAGAAGAAGAACGCCGCATCGGTGAAGGTGAGCGACGACGTGAAAACCGGGAACTGCCAACTGGGTCAAAGTTCTGCGGAGACGGCGACCGACGTGTGCTGTTCGGATACAGCCGACGATAGGGGGGTCCAGTCGCATAGAAGTCATCCCGTTCAAGGTTATCGTAGCCTCGTCGTTCGTCTTGCTGACGGCGTCGGCAAAACCTTGAAATATGACCACGGATGCCGCAATAGAAGCAAGTCGGCCGCGAACTGCGCCATGCGTTGTAAGGCTGGGAAGATGGTCGGGGTGCGAGTGAGTTGAGCAAACCATGCACTTCGGGCGCTGGTTGCTGCATCGGGCTTTGCTGGGGTGCAGGTGTCCTAGCAGCAACCTGAGCATACGTTGGCATGGTCACAGGATATGAGCTCGGGACAGGTGTGACAGTCATCGAGGCCAGGCTTTGGTGGGGCGTAGGTGTCGTTGCAGCAACGTGAGCATAACTGGGCATGGAATGTGAACTCGAAGCTGGTGTACTAGTCATCAAGGCCAGTTCCTCCCTCACGACGTCGCGCAAACTAGTAGCGGGTGGCGTTGTTCGGATATCGAGGTGGCGAGGTGAAGCCTGTGCGTGAAGTTCCTCGCGGATGATAGAGCGGATCAGTGCACGCAGCTCTGTTGTATCATGACTTGAGCTCAGATCAGACATATCAAGTTGTATCCGAGTGGTCTGAAGCTCTTCAAGGCGCTGACAGGTAGCGACAACATCGGCTACGGTTTGAGGATTTTGCACCACAAGCGCATTAAAAGCGACAGTCGCAATTCCTTTTAGCAAGTGGCGCACACGGTCGTTTTCTGCCATATCGTTGTCGATGCGGCGGCAAAGGGCGAGAACATCTTCGATGTAAGAAGTGTAAGACTCGCCAGGGCGTTGGACACGTGCACCAAGCCTCTTTTTGGCGATATCCGAGCGCACTGACGGGTTGGTGAAAATCTGGCGGAGCTGACGTGTAAAGGCGGGCCATGTCGGAAAATCTGTGGCGTGGTCGAAAAACCACGTTTTTGCGGCGCCGCTCAAGTAGAATGCAACGTGGGTGAGTTTCGCAGGTTCATCCCAGTTGTTGATAGCACTCACGCGGTCATACTCCTCTAGCCAGTCTTCAACGTCTTCACCCGGAAGCCCTGCGAACAGCGGAGGATCCTTTTGAGGGCTGGTGACCAGGTGAGAAGGGTTTCTTGCCGGTGGGAGCGGTGGCGAAGCTGGCACGCTGGACTGGGCGGCTTGCGACATTACCGGACCCAGGTCGTTTAAGCACGGCCTGAACGGAGCTCCAGGGATGTGTTCTAGAAGACGCTGGGGTGTCCGAGAACGCGAGAGGACGCAGGAACCGGGCAGCACTCTCCACCACTTGTAAGATGGCTTCGAGAACACTCGAGACTCTCCTTTTATTGACTCGAGTATGTGCCCACAACCTAAACTTGACTGGTGATGATGAGTATTTACAGATGAAAAGATGGGACGCATAAATAATGCTCACAATATATATATATATAAATATATATATATATATATATATATATATATATATATATATATATAAATATATATATATATATATATATAGATAGATAGATAGATTAGATAGATAGATAGATAGATAGATAGATTGATAGATTGATTGATAGAGCTGGTCAAACGAGAGCAACATTGTGCTTTGTTAAACACTACTTTGGAAACTCTTTGGGAAAGCTTGCAACGTGCTCCAAAAGCTAGCTCCTATGCCTTACTTGTGGTGTGCCACTGCTAGCCAAAAAGGCCAGTTCAAACGCTTAATAACGTTTTCTATCGCGGCAATTGGTCTGAATTTGTAATTTAGCTTATAGAAATGTATATGCGCTAGAAGAAGACAATAAATTAACACATAAAATGCGTCGAATCTAGACGATAATGATACCAAATAAAGGTAGCACAAACACAAATGGTAACGAAAAATTGACGAAAGGTAATTTCGTAGAAAGATATATACAAAAAAAGAAGGAATAACAAGAACTGTACCACAGTCAAAGGGATAAAATTACAACGATTTCTCGCCCCGACTCTAAAATTCATACTTAATTTGATAAAAGCATTATTTCAATAGAAGCGTGACGTAACGCTCGCTGACGCACGTGTTTTTATTCATTTTTTTGTTCTTGCCACGAAAAGCTCCATCGATATCACGATCGTTTTTCGGTGAATATCTTGCGACAACATAAACTTGCGCTACTTGTTTGACAGTGCTTATCTTGAATTTCACCTAAGCGTGGTGCTGCTCTCGCGCTGTTTCCAAGCAGTTTCACGTAATAAATGGCCCTTCAAGACACCATTCACCGAAAAACGGCAGGGATACGACGATGAAAGCTTTCGAATAAAAAAGCGTTCGTAACGAAGATTGTGTGCTCGAGCAGTTCCAGCTTTGCAGAACAAAAGTCCGCCTGTCGAAATTTCGGTTCAGTCACAAAAATATCATTCATGGCCTTTTCATGGCAATTTTTTGTAACACACAGACACGTAACCATTGTACAGGTTTTAGCACGTGTTCTGCGGGCAATTTATCTTTTTTCTAAAATTGAGTACGGATCGTGGAGCACACGAACGGCACAAAGTTGACGAGAACGGCCCTCAGCTCGTGAGCAGGTTTTTACTCATCAACACTTCACTCAACAGCACTTCATATACTGACAGCGTATGTAGGACGACATACCTAAAACACTTGTATGCTCTAAAATGTGGTCTGAGCTCCTTTTTTGTGAAGTTACCGGGTGTTAGACAACGTCAAAATGTGTCAGGGTCCTTCAAACAAACTTAATTACCAAACCAATAGGATTTATTCGTTAGAAGCTTTGCATATTTGCTCTCGTGAATAAAAGCATTACTTACATCCTTCATGCAGTATATGGTCACACGACATTTTGGAAGGCAGCCTATAGAACTTGTGGAATCAGTGAAAAAAAGGATCAGAATTGTCAGTGACGCTCGCATTTGCATCGGATGACAGCTAACGACTCCCTGTGTCATTGTGGGCTTGAGGTGAATCCTTTCTGCACTGAGGTATTTTGAGCGAACAATGTTGGTGCGCGTTTTTTCTACGGGCTCTCTAACAACAGAACTTAGCGTTGAACAATAGCACTGTCGTAATGTTGCATTTTTTTGAAATTTCAATTTACTTGGAAACGCATTCCGCTTTACAAAACGCTTTCACGCACGTATTGCGCCATTTTAAATGGCAGGTGTTCATCAAAACAAGCCTTATTTTCGCATAAAACGTGGTGGCTTGAGTTCTTAAGTGCTTTAAAAAGAATGTCCCGCACTGCATTTGACTTTCTTGTTGTTCAAAGGTTTAGAATTTGAGAAGGCCTAGCAGTTCTGCTACGAAACCGTTCACAGAGAAGCAAGGATTTTTTCCCCCGCCATTTGCCTACCTTCTGTATATTGTGTGAGTTCTGGTAAAGCTGTTTGAGCAGTGGCGGGACATCGGAAAGCTCCAGCATTCATTCGATACAGTAAGAGAAGCGGTGTATAACAGACCACATGCAGGTTTCACAAAAAGAAGCTTCAAGAGCAATCAATAATATTACAAGCACGCATGGACACACAATGAAACTCTTAAAAAGTTGTAAAGTAATATGGATGGGGAAAGTTTCGGCGTGTAATAACTGAGCAAAAAGAGCATGAAAGAAAATGATGGAAGTTTGCGATGAAAAGTTTGATAACAGGATATATGTGCGCCAGGGCCGACGTTCTGAAAAGCGGACAAATCCTTTTGAAGGCTGCAACTGATTTATTAGCGCTTGTGTGTGTGTGTGCTTCATACCTTCTCCCCAATGCAAACAAAGAAAAAAGAGAGGATAACAGCAAAAAGGGGAAGGCATGAAGGGGGAGGCAACGATAGGTTGCTATGATAAATTGGGTGAGTCAGAAGAAATAGTATTTTGTGAAAATAAAAAAAGGATAAATAGAAATTACCGCCTTATCCTTATCCTCTAAGTGAATGACGTTGGAGGATTTTGCTCGGAGATTATTGTGTAAAACTCAAATCTTTCACACACATCTCCAATTATAATATATAGATGACACAACGTTTTTATATGTGCATTCCATACAAAATGCTCATGCATTTACGTTTGAATGAACTGTATGAATTACGATGAACTATGTTCATTGTAAATACGCAAGAGATATTCTTTCCCAAAGTACAAGAACAGCGTTCCTCGATCAGCTATAGAACCCTTTAAAGATGATTGTTTTATGATGTATGAGCTACATACAACATATATACACACAAGATATGTTAATTTGCAGAGTGCTGTGCCCGCAGGACACCACGCATCTTTTGTGCAGACGACTTGAACAAATCCACTCATACGAGTGTTTCCAGCGTTCTACGTCTCAAAGGAGCAGAGCGCGTAGGCCTCGCTGAGGACGGGATTATGTTTGATGTCATGAGTTTGTGCTTTGATGGACTACTCATTTATAAGAACAAGGGGTAACTCGATCGTCTAGTCGGCATCTTCTAGCAGAGCACGAAAGTACCTTCGATGTGTGGCGGTTTCGGCTTGTTGGTAGGACATGACGACACTTATATAGTCGTAACAGAACGACAACAAAGGTCTTCTCCTTGTCCCTTTGTCGTCGTTCTGTTCTCGCTCTATAACTATCGTCCCTAAGGTACCATTGCGTTTGCATTGGCAACCTGTGCTGCTCCTGGTGCTGATACTAGTCAAGCATGTGCTTGTGTTCGCTGCGGGTCTTGTGGTAGAAGTGGTGGTCCCCGTTGGCGTTGGTCATGCACTAGTTGTCCACGTTGGTACAGTGCTCGACTGTAACGTACACGAGTGCCTGCTTGTGCATCTCACTGTGCTCGTATCCAAACGAAGAGTACCCCCTTTCTTGAGAGTTGCGCACACCATTATTACACTGTATTACAAGATGAGAACCGCTCGCGTATGTAGGAAGCGCCCATTTTGCGGTCGAGTATGAGTGTCAAAGTCCAAGAGAACTCGGACTCCTCGATGTCCATGGAAGTGGGCTCCTTCATGTCCAAGTGAACATGTAGGAGCACTAATGGCGAAAATAAGAACGAAATAGACTTTATAATGAGTGCACACCCAGGCATCATGCAGGATGTGGAAGCGGTCAGCAAGGTAAGATGCAGTGACCATAGAATGGTACGGTCTCGAATTCGCCAAGACTTGAGAAAGGAAAGACAGAAACTAATATGCAAAAAGCCAATCGATGAGGTAGCACTGAGAGCGATTGTACAGGAATTCAGAATCTCGCTTCAGAACAGGTACTCGACTCTTAGTCAGGAAACCAACCTTAGCATAGATACTGTAGCGGCGAGAGAAGAGAGACGTGAGATGGCGTCGAAGGCGGCCGATGGGGCCGTGCCGATCTCGCCACTTTATTCCAGGCCTGAAGCGGAGCCACGTCGACTATCAGCGTCCGCCACGCCAGGCGTGTCGGCTAGTTCTAATCCTCGCACAGCTCGAGCTAGCATCAGCTGCGCGAGAGGCTGATGCTGATGATGACCTTTGATGGATGGCGCTTACCCACAAAGGGGGATGGGCCAAGAACCGGGCGGCAGGATACTTAAATGAAACTAAACTGAAAATGAAGCCAATCTGAAAAAGTAGCTTAAAACAATACTACCAAAAAACAAAAATGTGTGCTGAGCAAGCGGTCAAACCATCTTTTGTTTTTGAAAGACATAACTACGAATCATAAACTAAAGATCTGAAAAGGTAGTGGTTCACTAGCATGGTAATCTTTTAGTTGCGTTGATGTAATCAAACACAGTGGAGCATACATCCCTGTGGCAGTAATCAAATGAAGTTCCGCCAAGTGATAAAAATACTGGTAAATTTACTTGTATTCCGAGCTTTTGTAATGGGGTTACTAAAAAACTTTTTCTCTGATAAGAATAACGACGACAGAATAAAAAGAAATGTTCAATTGTTTCAATTTCGTTGCACCAAATGCATAGCGGTGACGCCTTGAGCTGAGCTTTATTAAGGTAATAATTTAGTTGTGGAACTGCACAGCACAATCTGGTATAAGTGACCTCTAACTGGCGAGATACACACCACTGTTTATTCCAGCAATAGCTCAAATGCTCGAAATCTTTAAATTTATCCAAATTACCTTTTCCCCATTGCAGGCAAGCATTTCGGAACCTTAGCGCGGTTACGTAAGCCGTATCTGGCAAAACTGGGATGGTGGGCCCACCCAGGGATACTGCTGCTAAAGAGTCCGCCATTCCGTTCAAATATTATCCGCGGTGACCTGGTACCCATAGCAAATGCAGTTTTTTTACGTTTTTCGGTACTAAATGCCGAAACGTATTCATCAGCTCTGAATTTACTGCCGTAGAAAGTGCATTACAAACTGATAACGAATCTGTAATGATAACTGCTAATGATTCGCTTGAGGGTAATTTGCGTAGGGCAAGAACAATGGCCAATAATTCTGCCATGAATACCGGGGTATAATCTGGGAGTCGAATCGAAAAAGACCAGTCCAAAGAAGGAGAGAAGATGCCAACCCCAGCCTTTTCTTTTGACACAGATGCATCAGTCGCTATGATATTGCTTATCTCTAGGTGGGCTAGATAATCTGCTAACTGGTCATTTAAATACCTATATGCCAATTGTTTCGCGTTATGAGGAAATATATCATTGAATTGTATGCTAAGCATTGACTTTAGGTTGTGTATTGGACCAATATGTCTAATTTTTACATTCAGTTGCTTTAGTAGCGCTTGTGCAAATACTATTTGCGGGGTGTGTAGTCGCGACCAATGGGTTTCGAAAAATAAAGTCGGCTCTTGAATGAAAGCATAAAATGAGAGTCTTTGGTGTGAACTTTATTCCAGGCCTGAAGCGGAGCCACGTCGACTATCAGCGTCCGCCACGCCAGGCGTGTCGGCTAGTTCTAATCCTCGCGCAGCTCGAGCTAGCATCAGCTGCGCGAGAGGCGCGGCGCAGTGATTAAGAAATGATGATGGTGATGATGGCGCTACAGGGCTCCCCCCTAGCGCTTTGCGCGATTCGAAGGCATATGAAAAAGAAAGAGAGCGACAAATGCTATATACATGAACGGCAATCCATAAAGTGTTCATTTGGCAAGTCCAGGTTGTCAATGTTTATGGGCCATCAGTAAGGCAGTGTGTCTCCGGTGGGCGACCCTGGGAGAAGCGCAAGGGACGAAGAAGGAAGTGTCGGGTCGCTGTGTTCGTAGACACGTCCATCCCAGAATTACGCGGCGGGACCATTCGAATGCGTACCCGCTGTTTCGAGTAGACGCGGCTGACAAACATGCCCACAGCTGGGACTGTGGACAGGCACTGAAGAGCTCGCGCCGGCAATGTGGGCGAAATAGTGTGAAGAATCGGAACGCACCCATGATGACCGAGCACTCAAGTTTCACAGCCACAGCGAAGTCTCGGACAGCACACAGGCTGCCGAGCATGCTGTCGACGAGGAGCAGCGTCGCGGTCGTGCTGGTGCGGACGTCTCTGTCGATGAAACACCGGCCTCCGCGTAGCACTGCGACCGGCATGCCGGGGCGTGTGGCCGAGTCGACGGATGCGGAAACGCCGTGCATTGCGGCTAGTCATGTGCACGGCTAGTGGTTGGCCCTTGCGTCGGGTAAACCTCGTAGGTGTTTGCGCCGTCTTGAAGGCCAAGGCTGCAACACATGACTGTTTAGCAAGAGGCTTGAAAAAGGGCCTCTCTGTATTATGCCGAACGTGATGATTTCGTTGGCATACTCTCAAGGGCGGCAGATATGCAGTTGGACCGCACGTCGTCGCTGTTGTTACCAACGAGCCTGTGTGGCGGACTGCATCCGGCGCCAAATGCTCTGGGGGATAGTTGTGAAGCTCAGAAGACGTGAGCTTTGATGGAGGATCGGGTGACACACCTGAAAGACCATCGGTTCTCCGCGGATGAGGGTTGGTGTGCAGGTCTGCATGATCGATGACAACCTCTACAGCATGTGTGGCATATGTAGTCTGC